TAATTTTTAACTAGGTCTTTTTTTTTTTTTTTTTTGACATTTGGCAATATTTAACATGTTAACATAGGAAGTATTGTTCACATAGGCAACATTATTGCCTCTCAACTTTCAAAATCTTTGTTCAACAAAGATCAGTTAATGTGAAAATACAAACTTGAAAATCTAACAAATATATTTGAGTCACTGAGCAAAAGAACATATAGTCAAAAGAAATTAAAACTCAAAGGAAGATCCTGTTTTATAATCTTTCCCGTGCTGATTTTCATGCAGTGGCAGATGGGGTTGCAATACCTACTAGGGACTGAGCAGGTTGAAGAAGGGTAGATGTTGGTGTCTGCTGTCAAGTGTATTGATTTTTCTAAAAGAAAAAAGATTTCCCTTAGTTGGGTGTGTTTCTAAATGGAACTTACCTGCTAGTTGTTAAAGGTCTGGCTGCCTTTTGACTGAGGAGATCTATATAGCTAAAATATATTTAAGTTGTTTCTGATAAAGCATATGTGGTGCTTAAATTATTTTTCCACAGATTTCAGAAAGGAACTTTTTCTGGTTTTTGGTTTTTTTTTTTCACATTTCTAGCAAAACTTTTCCTCTTAAAAAATTTCCCTTTTTGCAATGCTTTCAGATTTCCTTTTCCTTTTATTCCACAGATTTCAGAAAGGAACTTTTTCTGTTTTGTTTTGGTTTTTTTTTCACATTTCTAACAAAGCTTTTCCCCTTAGAAAATTTCCCTTTTTGCAATGCTTTCAGTTTTCCTTTTCCTTTTATTTTTTTTCTTTTTTCCTCTTTTCTGTTTTTCTACAGGGAAAAAAAAAAAAAGGCAAGAAGGAGGGGAAAAAAAAGTGTTAAACTGAAAGAAATGAAAATACAGGTCCACTTTTTTTAATTTTCCATTTTAATTTTATGAGAATGAACCGTCCAAAATAACAGGAAAAAAAAAAAATGTGAAAAGAGGCCATTTTCAGTGGCTGCAAAACACCATCAAGCAATTGTGCAGAAAGGTGACAGACAGAAGGATGAATTTCCACTGGTCCAGCTTCTTCTAACATGAGGTGTCCAAACAGATCTGACTGGAATCCCTCTTAAAAAAATTAAAAATAGATAATAATTAAAAAATCCTACCTAGTGTAGGAGGGTGGGCTGAGAGGTGCTTAGCAGGAGTCCACAGAGCCACTGTGGTGGTGGTGCCACCCACAGCTCAGACCATGAGGTCCTGCACTCACCCCCCTCCACCCAGAGAGATGGGGAGAGAAACTCACCAAAGGGCTGGTGGGTTGGGATGAGGACAGGGAGGGCTCACTCACCAGGGATGGGCACGGGCAAAACAGACTCCACTTGGGGAAGAAAAATCCATTTAATTAGTTCCCAATCAATCAGAGTGGGACAGTGAGACACAACAACCACATCTGACAGCACCTTCCCCCACCCCTCCCTTCCTCCCAGGCTCCCAGCACTCTGCTCCCCATTTCTCTCCCTTCTCCCCCAGGGCACAGGGAATGGAGGTTCAGTCAGTTCGTCTCTGCTGCTCTTCCCGGCATGAGATCCCTCCCGTGGGGTAAAATAGTCCAGGAACAAAGTGTTCCAACGTGGGCTGCCCATGGAGTCATGGACCTCTATGGGCACAGCTCCTGGATCTGGCATGGGGACATCCACCAGCTCTCACATGCACATCCTCAGGCAAACACCAGACACCTCCTCACCAGCACGTGCCCACGCTCATCACTTGCCCTATCTCTAGCCCGCTTGTCCAACAGGCAGGGGAAGAGACAGGCTGTAAAGTGAAGCTGTGTGTTTTTGATGGCAGTAGGCAACACCAAGCACCAGCTGGTCGGTCCCATCACACCATCATCACGTGTGATGCTACTGGGATCCTCCATTTCTCACTCCAGTAAGGTGAAATTTAGCAGAACTCTGCCCCGTGCAGGACCACGTGGTACATACAGCCTTGCAGTGTATAAGCACTCACAGAAATGTAGGTTGGACGGGCATTGACACACCTCTGGATGAAAGCAGATCTTCTCAGGTGTCATCTGCTGTGACATGGCTGCCCCACTCAGTGAGGGCTTGTGTTGGGTTTTGTTCCTTGGTTGGTATTTTTGGTGGGTCCGTTGGGTTTTAGGTTGGATTTTGGCTTTTGTGCCCAGCATGGAGTTGCAAATCTGAGCCAGTTTGGAGCTTCCTGAGGCCAACAAAGGTGTGTGAAGGTCCTCTCCTCCTTGCACACAGCTGCTCAGGGTCTCTCCCACTTCC